TCAGAGACAAAGACACGGAGACAGGCAGAATTCAGGTAAGTGAAAGCCTTTATTCAAGCAGTCACTGGATTGTGCAGGCAGAGAGTCAAAAACTCTCCCTAAATCTGGCCTCGACATGAGGATGCTGTCATTTTCACAGTGGGATACAGTATTTTTACATATTTTGTGTTACAATAATCACATACAACGTGGTCACTGTGCCCTCCTCCCTTATTCTATACATCCAATCCTGTGAAACACCAAATCAATGATAGATACTCCTATGGACAGCTTTAGGTTCCCCATGATCTCATGATGTTTAGCAGATAATTTAATCACCAGGTCTTGGGATCTTTCAATCTTTATTCACTAGGCATTCCAAAGTTACCAGCCATACTCCTTCGGGCATGTCCCAAACTTGCTTATATCTAAGACCTGCTTGAATTCTGTTGTTCATTGTATTCATTTGTTATCTCTATCAAATTCTGTTACTTATCTTATATTTCCCACTGTCCTAATTATACAAAAGACAGTTGGTTCTTACTAACTGCTATAGGAATCGTAATGTTAATTCTGTTATAAAGTTAGTTATATGGAAAGTTTTTATATCTACCCCTACATTTAGCATTCAGTAGCTAATGAGTTGTGAGCAATTTGTTTCTTACAGGGTGCACGAGGCATTCCTTTAATGATGAGGCTATTTGAGACTAGTTAACTTTCACGTCTTTATTTGAATCTTTTTCCCTAATGCCTTTAGTGATCTCTATATTTTTGCTATGTATATGTGTATTTATAATTACATTGAAACATTGAAATCAATCTCTGTGATATCCTGTAGAATCTTTAACAAGAACCTATTTCATAATATTGTGAATAATTTCAAAGAAACAACTAATTACTGCAAAATGCCATTATCTGTTGTTTTCACAGCCGTACCAAGATCTAGGCTGACCGCATACTGTCTTCTGGGATGAGATCTACACCCCTTGTCTTAACTACCTCTTTTCACCTAATGGGACAATGTCCTTTCATTAATGAGACTGGAATCAATCACTTGTCATAGCTTAATGAATTTGTTTGATCCACTAGATTTTTTACAAGCCATAATCCCATTAGTTCATTTGTATTTATTATAGGGGGAGCTTGCTTTTCCCTTCGATGTTTGTTACAAATCTTCAAGCTGCTGTCCTTGGATGCTTCTTATCAAACTGTCTCTAACAATTTTTTTTGCAGCTGTTGTTTGTGCAAGGCTCCTTTTTGCTTCAGAATAACCCCTTCTCAAAGGTACCATTGTGACTCACGTTAATGCTGACAAAGTTTTTAATTCTGTTTAACTACTTGTCAGCCATTTCCTGCAAGGCTAGAGGGACAACTTAGCTCTCAGCCATTTTGTGTCTCTCAAATATGGGCAGCCCTAAGAGTAGGCAAATGGACTCTGTTAGGTTGCTATGGAAAATGCATGAGTTATTGATGTCTGACAGTTAACTGCCAATCTTTGTTTACATTTTAAACAAAGCTGGTTGACT